CGTTTTGTTTTTGGAAAGCCTTGGGAGGAGGCTTTTCCCGCCAGAATCAGATCAATCAGAAGAATGGGAACGGCTTAGGAAGGAGTTTTTGGAGCCCTTGAGCGAGTATGAGCGACTCTTGTATTTCATTCGAGAGCGCTCTCGCCACTCTGTCTGTGTGCTTAAGAAGTATTTGGAGGAGGTGAAAGCAGGCAGCAGCAGCATAAAGCCGGATGCATTGCTTCCAAATGATATCATAAGATATGTAAAGGATAAGAATGTCGGCGAAGCAGCTGAGCTTCAGTGGAAGGCAATGCTGGAGGACATGTACCTAAAGCAGCAAGAGGGTTTGGGCAAATTTAAAAACTGCTTGGCAGTGTGTAACATCACCACCAATTTCATGGGCGAACGAGTCATAGAATTGGCGGCGAGCTTGGGCATTTTGGTGTGTGAACTTAGTGAAGAGCCAGCATGGAAACGCAAGGTGATGGGTCTCGGTCCATTACCCGATCAGCTGCCGCAGCTGCATTCGATACAAGGCGGTGATCTCAAGTCCAAGTGCGAGTTTGTGATGAGGACATGCAGCAAGAACTACAGCGAGGGTGTTGATTTTCAGATGGTGTGTGATTTGCTTCTGGAAGTGGCTGTGAATGAGAACTTGAAGGCAGAGCAAATGATCAAGAAGGTGTTTGTGTTCACTGACAACGTAAGATTTGGTGGCTGCACCTCATCTTGGAAGGTTCTGTATGATGAAACACAGAGCAAGTTTAAGCAGCAAGGGTACGCGATGCCACACATTTTGCTTTGGAATATTTGCGACTTAGGGGGCCGGATGCCCCGTATAGAAGAACCTCATCCAGGGGTGACGCTGTTGTGTGGCACTTCCAACGCATTGATTAAGTCTTTCTTGGACAATGGTGGAGAAATTGGCCGGCGCCATCTCATGGAAGCAGCCATATCTGGCAAAGAGTATCAAAATCTTTTTGTGGTCGACTGAACTTAAACTGAGATCAAGATCGAGATCAATGAATAAGATATTTGGAGGGGTTGATCAATCGATCAGATATTTGGAGGGGTTGTAGAATCTTAATTAGTTAGTTTAGTAAGATGTAGTTTAATTTGGTTGAAGCTCTTTTCAATTTATATTTTTTTTGGTCTTTTCTCGTTTCTATGTAACAAATTCAGTTGTCATGAATTCATAATTGGAACTGTTGCTCTCAGCAAAAACTATTGTCTGAGCTGTTGCTCTGTGTGATGGGTAGAAATTTTTGTTTTTAAATCGATTGTATTCCTACTTACAAAAAGAATGAATTATTTGTCGCATAAAAGTTCAAACAATGTTGCATTCGAGCAGAGATACCATATTTTCTTTCAATTTTGTGCATGTTTACGAGTTGCGGTTGCTTGATTTGGTGCTCTCTGGTACTTCCTTGAAATTTGCGAACATCTCACATGTTGTTCTGGTTTGCTAGATTTGTACATTACCATATGTTCTATTAGTATTAAAGTTTATGAAAATATAATCTCTACAAGACTATTATTATGCGTTTCAAAATTTGGAGCTTTCTGCCATTGATTTGTAAATACTCGTAGTCTCTGAAGGATGAGAACCGACTTTTTAGAATCTACATCGAGAATTCAAGTATTGTATACGTCATTAGTCCGATCCTTTGTAGGAACTACCTGTAATTACGAACCTGCAAAATGAATCTCTTTATCATAAAGAGATTCGTTGTTCCTGACCCTGCTTCACCTTAATTGTTATTTGAACAAGTATTTCTTGGATGCCATGACGACATTATCCCTTAAATCAAAGCTTCCCTTGCAAATCAAGGGAGCTTCTATTAGGTTATCTCTATTGCTCTCTTTTTTTTTCTTACCAGTTTTATGTTATCTTTTATTGCCTCCTCTTAAACCAATTGAAGTGCTGCAGCTTTCTTCATAATTCACCGAAATTTTACTTATCCTGCCAATATGGCTGCAAAGGAGGGGAAAATGGAAACAATTTTTAAAGCACAACATTGTTACTTTGAATACGACAGATGTTATGCAAATAAATGCATTACGAAATTATTCAATAGAAAGTACACGCCTTGTAGGCCTTTAAATCATATCAGGTTTAAATATGAGCAATAGTCTAATTTAGCATTCCTTACAATTTCACACCATTTTTTTGCGACAACACACCCCCATTCCATTGCACAACAGTATACTAGAACAAAACCAACCACCTGAACCAAACAAAACCAAACCCTCCCCCTGCTTTTGCACCTTTTGGTACATGTCCTCCACCATTGCCTTCCACTGAAGCTCAGCTGCTTTGCGGACATCCTTATCTTTTACATATGTTATGATATCATTTGAAAGCAATGCATCCGGCTTTATGATGTTGCCGCCGACTTTCACCTTCTCCAAATACTTCTCAACCATATTAGGCATTTGAATGTAACACATGCTTCGACAACACTCAAAGGCCCTATACTCGTTGGCCAAGGGCTCCAAAAACTCCTTTCTATGAAGTTCCCACTCTTCTGATTGATCTCTATGGTGGGAAAAGTCTACTCCGAAGGCTTTCAAATAGAAAAATGGCATGTCTGGTGTGGTCGTCTTCGGTGTTCTTGGGAGCCAACACTCTGCAACCCCAGTAACAAAAAAGAGTAGTACCATCTTCTTTATCATCATCTTTGGATGGCGGCTTCAATTTCAATTCCATCTTTTGTTGACGGAACAATAGAAAATACGAATTTAGATTATAATAATTCTCAACAAAATTATAACCATCAAATATACAACAAATTCACATGGAATTAATGTAAATCAACAAACACGAATGTGTAGAAATACTGACAACTTTAGTGATTGAGGCTTTCAAGAATTGCGATATCCTAAAGACATATTTCGTCTCTGCCCTTGTGCTCGCAATTCTATAGGCGTTCATCTCCCAAGATTCAACAATCGATAATCCTAAAATGAAGCACTTCAATTAAAGACTCTGGCTAACCAATTATATATTTGTACTCTAAAAAAAAAACTAGGAAGAATTTAACAATAGAGCACTAGGGATATTCTTTGTTTTTCACGGGTAAGAACTCTCTTCATTCTATATCTCAAGTCGGTGAGGATGTTTAGTTTATATAAAACTCATTACACCTTGTTGATGCGTAAAAATGGTTCGGCACTTTTCCCGCTCAACTTAGTGATGTTAGGCCTTCGATACGTCTTGGGCCTCGGTGGAGCGTGTGATCTGCAAGATAACGAACGATCGGTAAGACCTAAGGGCATCGATGTGGTACCGGCCGAAGGCTCTCTGATGCTTAAGTAAGTACGGAGTTGGAAAGATTAAACTGACAGATCAATAGGCAGTATGCCGTAAGTTCTGATTACCTTCATTTTGGGGAATTGTGCTAATTTTATAAGCCTTGGGAGGTGTGCTAGTTGTGTAGATTTTTGATGTGGGACTGTGGACGTCGATTGTGGGCCTGCCACGTGTTCTGAGAAGGAGGTTGCCCTAATCAAAGATTAGGTAGGCTGGGTGCTGAAGGCTGCCATGGTTAGGCTCAATATTTGTCCACGTGTCTGGTCCTCATTGGCTGTTCATTTTGGGTATAACCAGGAGTCCCCCAAGTTCTCATTCGAGAGTTCTCGGATAGGGACTTGATATTCTCTTCAGTAAGCAAAATGTTGTCCTACCGTTCGGTAACTTAGCAGATGGAGGGGCTTAATCCTGGCCTTTCCGTGTGTCTTTATTTGGAAGCAGACGTCGGGGGAGTCAGAAGGTCACTTGAAGCGAGGAGTGATGGGACTAAAGGGTTATTCGTCTTCTGCGCCCACGTGTTGTCAGATCATCCACAGAATGAACGCCACGTGGCATGTGCACTCATTAGGAGTGGCACATTAATGCACCGCTTGGTTTGGATATTCTGTGTGTGCTGCTGATTGAGCAAGTGCTGGGTTTCGTCCACTTTGGACGACAAAAGGTTATTATGTTCTTGGAGTTTAGCCATATCCTTCCAAAGGGAAGCGATTTGGGCCAAAAGCTCTGCTTCGGCTGTGAGCTACATAATCCGTGAATTGCCAAACAGAGTACTTGGGGGCAGCGCTGGGCTAGCTCCAATCTGCCTACCGAACGACAATCCGTCTTCCTGTAAAAACGTTGGTACTGAAGTGGTCCCCTTGTGTTCTAGGGATTATGGGTTGATTTTTATCGATTCTCATAGATGGCGCCAAACTGTTGATGCGTAAAAATGGTTCGGCACTTTTCCCGCTCAACTTAGTGATGTTGGGCCTTCGGTATGCCTTAGGCCTCGGTGGAGCGTGTGATCTGCAAGATAACGAATGATCGATAAGACCTAAGGGCACTGGTGTGGTACCGGCTGAAGACTCTCCAATGCTTAAGTAAGTACGGAGTTGGAAAGATTAAACTGACAGATCAATAGGCAGTATGCCGTAAGTTCTGATTACCTCCTTTTTGGGGAATTGTGCTCCTTTTATAAGCCTTGGGAGGTGTGCTAGTTGTGTAGATTTTCGATGTGGGATTATGGACGTCGATTGTGGGCCTGCCACGTGTTCTGAGAAGGAGGTTACCCTAATCGAAGATTCGGTAGGCTGGGTGTCGAAGGCTGCCATGGTTAGGCTCAATCTTTGTCCACGTGTCTGATCCTCATTGGCTGTTCATTTTGGGTATAAACACACCTCTTGTTGAATTGAAACATAAGTAGCTTTTCATTTGAAAAGTTACAGACACAACTCTATAGAAACAAGACCACTGATCATTTGAATCTCATCGTATAATTATTAATAATTTCACTTTAAAGAATGACCAAGTGCAAAACAAATACTAAAAAACACGACACTTATTTTTCATTCATTATAAAAATTAAATATTATTAAATAATATAAAATCACTCTCACATTACCTCATGCACTCCTCATTTGTGAGTGACAGAGGAGTGTGGGTAGGGAGATGTGGAGCGCTAAAATCATCAAAATTTTGGGGGTTAAAAGAGTTGTTTGGGTAGACCAAGGAGCATGATTGAGGGTTTAAACTGCTAACTATATGTGTCGTTGGATTAATCCAAGGGTCTTTATTAAAGATGTCCTCACATAGCGGGATTGTACATTTAAAGATGTCATCATCACATGAGAAGATATTGCAACCCTTGAAACTTTCGAACTTCCATTTTAGATGCTATTAATTTGTGCTTTGTTGTACTACCAAGAGCACTATTGTATCCAAACAACCATCTAAAAGAGTCCACAGTAACCTTGGACTTGATACAAATATATTGACAAACTCAATCCATCATACATACGCGTGAATACCCTGTCGATCTATTGTGAGTCTTAAGAAGTACAAGAGACATATCGATCACTCTCAACGTTTTTAAAAACATGGAGAGAGATAGAAGCTGATAGCCGCCATATTTATTGGCAAACTAGAGTCTTGTGTGTGCGATCGTAGGTTATATTTTCATTGATGTACCTTTTCTTTTCTTCCAAACACCTACCTACTCTAACACTATATACCATCGTCTGTTGTCTATTTTAACAGTATGGGTCATTTTAAGGTCCCACTAGTGAGATTGGGCCATGGACTTACCTATCTTTCAATTTGCTAATGGCATGTGCTAATTTGTAAAGCTGCATTTTTATTTTGATGCATCCATTCACATGGGCCTCTGAAGACTGTATTAACTTCTTGATTAGCCATAATTCTGCAATTTTACTTTTTTGTCAACAATGGTACAGGGGAAATATTAGTAAGATCAAAATATTATTGCTTCATAACGTGGTATTTTCTCACTGTAATTTCAACTAAAATGAATTTTGTTAGCATCATTTGCCTGTACATGGGGAAAGAAGAACAAAAATGGTCCTAATCCCAAATCTTTGAGGTAAGCAGAATCCAATTCTAGTAGCTGAGCAGACAGACAATCGAATATCAATCAGTGCAGAAGTGCAAAGCAAATAACACTACAGATTACTAATTAATTAACA